TTAGGCTTTATGAGGCCACTTGGAAAGTATTCTGTAATTGGTTCAAGGATAAGGGCTCAGACCCTGGGGAGGTTTTGATCTCCCAGGTTTTAGAATTTTTACAGCAGGGACTGGACAAGGGTCTTGCCCTGGCAACTCTTTGTAGACAGGTTGCAGTACTTTCATCAGTACTATCATGTACAAGTTCAGACTTTTTATCACAAAATCCTTCTGCATTTTCTCAAAGGCATCAAATTTAAGACCGGGGTCATCCATAGATTTCTATGATGGAACCTTACCAAAGTCCGGCAACCCTTATGCTTTCACCTTTCGAGCCTCGAGAACTGTCAGCCTACAGTACCTATCTTATAAAGTAATTTTTTGGGTAGCAATCACATTTGCCAGAAGGATATCTGAGCTTGCAGCTCTGTCAACAAGACCTGATCTCTGTATTTTTCATACCAATCATGTCGTTTTATGATTGGATCCTACCTTTATACCAAAAGTCAATTCCCATTTTCATAGGGCACAAGAACTCATTTTGCCAATTTTTTGTCCAAACCCATCTCACCCCAGAAAGAAACTTTGGCATATACCATATTTACATAAAAAGGAGAGCTTCCTTTGAAAGACAGAATCCATGTTTATTTCTTATCATCAGAACTCTTTAGGTCAGAGGGTGTCCTCTTCTTCCATAGGCAGATGGATTAGAGCAACCATTGCTAACACCTACACAGCACAGGGGTTGGTACCTGTTCCATCTCACATCATGGCTCACACAACACGTAGTGCAGCCACTACAGCAGCTTGGAGTACTCAGGCTTCAGTGGAGGAAATATGTAAGACGGCATCATGGTCCACTCCTTCACCATTTGTTAGATGTTATAAACTTGACTCTCACCTCCACGGAGGCAGCATTTGGAAGGAGAGTACTACAAAAAGGTACTGACAGGATTTGAATCATTAGGGCCAGAATCCCTCCCATCGGATGTTGCTTTAGTATGTCCCATACATGGATCCTGTTGAAACCATTCTGGAGAAGGAACATTGGTAGACTTACCTGAGAACGCGCCTTCTCAGATGGTGTAGACAGGATCCAGGCCCGCCCATTTTTATGTTTTTGGCCATCATGTTGTGTATTGGACTAACTTAAGATATTACTAATTATGAATGTTCTACAAAGATGGGACTCTTGCAGCATCTACAAGAAGGCCTCGACTTCATTCAGAACTGGACAGTGGCTTGGAAGGGGTGTGTCTTCAGTTTTTCTATTCAGTCTATAGCTGAACAGAGCTGAATACATACATGGATCCTGTCTACGCCATCTGAGAAGGCGCGTTCTCAGTAAGTCTATCAACGCTTCTTTGTACCTAATAAACTTTGTGAACTGTTACCATTTTTATTAACAAGGTTCATTGTATTCTTTCAAAATACTGACAGAAAGTAATGAAGGAAGATAGTGAAAGAATGCCAGAGGAGGAGGGAGGGAAAAATTTTTAATACTCCCTATCAGCTTCCCACAATGAAACTCAATGGGGAAGCCAGTAGGGAGTTGAAAGTCACTCCTGCTTCACTTGTTTTTTTTGCCCATCCACATGATCTTTTTTCCCCCTCTGTTCAGGTAAGGAAATATCTGGAACTATGATCCAATAGTGCATGGCTTGTCTATTCTTTTTTTTATAACAATAGAGCTGTTTTTTGATACCTGATGCATTTTCAGCATATAACATCTTCCACCAGAGGGCATACATAGTACAGCATACTTGAGAAAAATTTGGTACTGTATGATTTTCTTAGATTTTTTTATTTTTTTTTAAATAACTTCTGCATTTTCCTAGAAAATGGAAAATACTAGCATTATCTACAGTCATATGTAATAAGAATAGAATAGAATAGAATTCTTTATTGGCCTAGTGTGGTTGGACACACAAGGAATATGTCTTGGTGCAGATACTCTTGGTATACATAAAAGAAAAGATACATTCATCAGGAATCATAAGGTACAACATTTAATGATAGTCATAGGGTACAATAAGCAATCAAACCATACTAGGAAACAGTCAATATAAATCATAAGGTTACAAGCTACAAAGTTACAGTCATACAATCACAAGTGGGAGGGGATGGGTGATAAGGAGTGATGAGAAGATTAACAGTAATAGTGCAGACTTTGTAATAGTTGAACAGCGTTGAGGGAATTATTTGTTTAACAGAGTGATGGCTTTCAGGGGAAAACTGTTCTTGTTTCTAGTTGTTCTGTGTGCAATGCTCTATAGAGTCATTTTGAGGGAAGGTGTTGAAATAGTTTATGTCCGGGATGTGAGGGGTCTATAAATATTTTCACAGCCCTCTTTTTGACTCGTACAGTATACAGGTCCCCTATTGAAGGCAGGTTGGTAGTCATTGTTTTTTTCTGCTGTTCTAATTATCCTCTGAAGTCTGTGTCTGTCCTGTTGGGTTGCAAAACCAAACCAGACAGTTATGGAGGTGCAGATGCTACTCAATAATTCCTCTGTAGAACTGGATCAGCAGCTCCTTGGGCAGTTTGAACTTTCTGAGTTGGCGCAGAAAGAACATTCTTTGTTGTGCTTTTCTGATGACGTTTTTGTTGTTAGGTGTCCATTTTAGGTCTTGTGATATGGTAGACCCTAGAAATTTGAAGGTCTCTACTATTGATAGATATGTAATAATCATACACTAATTCAGTTTTACTTTACTTTTTCTTTCAATTTAGTTATAAATTGCCTACTTAATTGAAATATCAAATTTCACATTGTTATTGAAAATTATACAAATGAGGGTTTTTTTGTATGGCGAGGAATATAATAACCAGGATTGTGCAAAAGTTATCATTCTATTTTTTTTTCCATACATGAACAGGCCAATATTGCACAAAATTTCACATCTGAAATACCACAAAACACTTTTGAGGTGTTACATTCTAAGAGACATCCAGTTGGTCAATGTCTGAATCAATATTGTCAAAAAAAAAAAAAAAAAAGAATGGAATGCTCCAGAAGTTTACTGGCTGGTTTGATTTGTACCTAATACTTATAATGCACCACTTATGGCTGCATTTTGATTGCCACTTTTTGGTTATTGTTATAACTTCATAAAAGTATCAGAACCTGGGCTTAATATTGGTGCTTAGCATACTGACTAGGCCTACCAGGTTCAGGCTTGAAAAATACTGAATATTCTTACTGTTTTTTTAAGTCATCAGTGCAGAAGTGTTGCAGATCCTGTCTTGGTTGCCATTTACCATCAATTTCTCTGTAATTAATTTTATGTGACTAGTTGTCCCTGCAAATGAAGAGACTTTTCATCTCATTTTTATATTTATGATTTTGAATATTTTTATTTTAATTAACATTTAATTGAAAATGTTTTGCATTTTAAGAAATATCACTCTCTTACCAAATTTCAGTCCTTAAAGGAACAGTTATTTTTGCTTTGTAATAAACTGCTCAGATTAGGGAAGAATGAATAAAGCTATGGAAAGTAGAAAATTTACTATTCCTTACTGTAGACCTCTAGCTGAAATATCTTGATGCTGCAATGAAGTCACTGGGGCTCATAAAGCTTTAGGATTGAAACTCTTTGTTATTTAATTGATTTAAAAGCAGCATAATAACGTGATTTGATGCATATACATTCTTTAGTTTCTAGTTTGGCACAGTTGCTCTTTTAGTTGCAGGTCTGCAGCTAAATTAGTCTGTAGATCAGACATCCAGCCCTTGCTTATCAATGGAGACCGAGTGGAGCAAGTGGCCAGTTTTAAGTTTCTGGATGTTACCCTAAAAGAGGACCACACCTGGGGTGCCCACATTGCAGCCCTGATCAAAAGGGCCCAGCAGAGGTTATACTATCTGAGACTTCTCAGAAAAGAACAACTGAATGAAAAACCACTGGTCGTGACCTTCTACCACTGCACCATAGAGAGCATTTTAACATACTGCACCTCTGTATGGTTTGCCAACTGCACAGTGGCAGATAGGAAAGCACTCCAGAGGGTTAATGTCATTGCCCAGAAGATCATTGGTTGCCCTCTCCCCTCTTTGGAAGAGCTTTATAGCTCCCGCTGCCTTAAGAAAATTCAAAACATCCTCAAAGATCCATCTCATCCTGGTAACCCTTTTTTTTCAACTATTACCATCTGGCAGACAGTACAGAATAACAAAAATAAGGACAAGTAGGCTGAAAAAGAGCTTCTATCCCAGGCAGTAGCTCTTTTGAATTCTGCTGTATAGTTCAGTGTTGGTGTAGTGTCAGGGGTTTCCGGTTTAATGTGTGAAGGGTGAAGGATGTGTTTATTTTCATGGTCATGGTCACGATGTGCACCGAAGATGGTGTTTGATTTTGTTGTACAAGGTGCAATGACAATAAACTAAATGTTTGTTGTTGTTGTTTTAATTTTCCCCCCGTTTTCTTTTCTATTTTGCTATGTTAAAGTATTGCAATGTCCACTATCCAGTTTTTGGTCTTATCAACAATTATTAAATCTGGGGTGGTGTATATGGCAGACGATTGTCTTTTTTGAATATTAAAAACTCAGAGCACTTGGTCTATTTTGTGATCCCATCAGTTCTTGCTTAGTTAATTGTAAGTTACAGTCCATTTGTGGTGAATGGGTGGCAAACAAATTTGAAAGATATGCATTTCTTACAGATATTCCAATGCACCATTGTTGCTACTTTGTAATACAGTTTAAAATCTTCTTCACTCTCATGATGTATGTATAAGGTCATAAGTCATTCTTTCTGAGGCCATAATTTTGAACAATCATTAAACAATTGGAAATCAAGGACAGCTTGTATTTACCAAAATGAGATTCCTCAGTCAACTTTCAGCCTATGCAACTTTTGTCCCATGAGTGTCAAGTATTTTGTATTTTAGGGACAAAACATTTCTTTTGCAAAATATTTGGACCATCACCTAATATAGCATTTAACAGTTTCATAGTTTCTATAAAGTTCACAAATGACATAAAGTAATATAAACAACTAATTTGAGGCATTATATGTTTTCAAAGCCATTTATTTTTATAAACAATAGAAATTCACATATAAAACTGAAGTTGAGCTTTGTTTATATTAACAAAGCTCGAATCATCATTCCAAAAGTAGGTTCTTGGCTTAAATTTGTAATGCTTGATATTATACACTCTTAAAATTAAAGATAATATTGTACAACTACTGAGATCATGTCTTTGGGAAAAAGCTTTTTTTAAAAAACAACCTCCATCATGAAAGGTAATTATATTGTCCTGAAGAGAGAGTAAACACCCATTACACCAGGTAAAATGCTATTTATAATTCAAAACTTTTATAAAAAGATCTGGAAAAGTACCTAAAATAGTTGTTTCTTTTATAAAATTCAGTAATAAAATATTGCTTGCAATAAATAAAAAATGTAGATTAATACTGGTGGTTCCATTATTTCTTAATACTTAAAACTGTATTTCACCTGTTATCCCAGGTTACTTACAAATGGTTAGAAGTGTTAAATTAAGTTGAAATATTGGTAATCGGTGACAAAGGAAAATATTTATTAAACTGGAAATTCATTTGGAAGAATTCTTTGCACAAACCATTCCTCCAAATATACTGCTCAAAGTACAGAGATAGTAATCATATCATGATGTTTGGGCAACGTATGTGCATGCACATAATCAATGTGGGAGGCTTTTAAACCCATGTTTTTAACACATGGTGCCCCATGTACCATGAAGCAATGGATTCACACAGTTCAACTAATAATGGAAATCATCCTCTTTTAATGACCCCATAATTCCTTGCAGGGTGGAGTCTCGGCAATTGAATGGAGCTGAGTATTTACTGGCCAGATGCCCTTCCTGGCGCCAATGTGGAGTTTTTTTCAGCAGATATATTCTCAGAGTGCTCAGAGAGAAATATTTGCCTCTACCTAGGATCAAAATCACAGCCTCCTGATTGTGAGGTGACAGCTCCACCTCTAGGCCACCGCACCACTGTCAACTAATAATGGAAATGATTATATGAAATGAAAACACTAGCCATCTTTTTGTCTTTAAAAATGCAAATACATGTAGCTAGCTTGTGTATCCACAAGCTTATTTTTTTCCAAAATACTGCTCAAATGTGCAAGTTTCCCCCTGAAATCTAAATCATAGAGAAGCAAAAGTAGAAAATGCAAGTTTGCCATGGCTATATGGATACATTGGATTTCATGGCTGCCCGTCCCATCTGTAAACATGGCAGTTTTGAACAGTTCTTTAGCAGTTGTTCAATAGCAATATGACGGACATTAAGCTCAGAAGCTAAGGAGTCTTTTTCTTGTACTTGTTTTGTTAACTCTTCAAACACATCTGAAATCAATAAAGGTGGTATGTTAGCCTAGAACATCAAATAGTTACATGAATTAAGTGTTGCAACGATGTACTTTCATTTATGAGATATCTAAGAACAAAATTTAAAATGTGAGTTGTAGTTGTGTCCAGACTCAACACAAACCTACCATGAAATGTAGCAATTTGGGACGATTTTTAATACATCCAATGTAAAACTAAGGTGTCTGAACTGATTGAAAATCTCCCCCAAGTTCTGCTTGGTATATGTAATTGAAGAACAGAGAAAACTGGGTTTTAAAGAATGAGACTGTATCAAAAAAAGGTGAAATATACACACTTTTAATAAATATCCACACAGGGACACTCTATTGATGGTTGTTAGCTTTCTAAATTGTCTTGGTAAGTAAGACATGAGATACTGTTCAACTAAGTGACAGAAAAGATTTCCATTGGTTCTCCCATACCTTCCCAAACTGAGAAACTCTAATTAGGTATTTGTCAGTTCACTGTTTATCCTTGCTCATCCTGAGACAATCAAAGTCCAGTACTGTGTTATCTATGAGACTGACTTTTAGAATCATATTTTCCTTATGGAAAATGTGAATCTCTTGTGCTTTACCAGTTAATTAGGGGCAATTCTATTCTTGTGCATCATTCCTTCTCTGGCACAAACTCTCATTAATCTGTTTGTACCTATTGGAGTAGTTCCTCAAAATACAATCCATTTTTGCTGCAAGATGCATAATGTACCATGCTAAAATAACAAGGTTACTGACATGGGAATGAATGAATATCCAATATTTCCTAACATCCTCCAGCAATGGAAGTTTCACTGATATTTAAAAAATCAAACTCTCTATAAATTTCCATTGAATTTGACATGTTTCACATCCTAAAAGATAGCTACCCTTAAAATAAATTTGGTTTTATTCTGAGGGAAAAAAACTTTCATGCATTCTTTAAAAGTGATGTTAAAGGCATGAATCTCAAACATTGCTGTCATAACTTCTTTATGCTTATACACAGTTAACTTTCTTACACATTTCCTTTCACTACCATGAACATATATAAGATTAATTTTAATGTTTGTTTCCATACCAAATAATGGAATGATAGAGCTGGGTAATACGAGATCACTCAGGATCACATAAAGAATGCTAAATTGAGGACTTCATGTAATCTGATCTCTGCAGTGCACAATTTTTATGACAGATAAACAAGCAATGCTCTGACCTGTGGCTTTCATGTGTTATATAGTCACAGAATGTTTCCAGGTACTTTCAGACCTGTCTTCTCCAATCAGAATCTTAACTGCCTAATATATGAGTGCTGGGAGAGCTGCACAGTGTAAAGAATGCTGGGGCATAGATAATTTTTTTGTTTTTAGTGCCATTTGATATGTAGGCCATGTCTCCCTTAAGTTTGACTGTTACCCATAATTATTGTGAGTCAAAAGAAATATTGCTACAGAACATATAGCAAATAAGCCACCCAGAGTCACTTCCTTGGTGACAGAATTGGCATATACATTTAATAATAATTTTAAAAAATGGTTGAAACTGTTTTTGATTTACTTTCAGTGACTGATATAAGTTTAACTTACATATGCATGCATGTGTATGTACACACAACACATACATAGCATAAATCTTTTTTAGGAATATAAAATGGGAAAATACAGTCTTATAAACATGTATTAATCAGCATATATTAACATGTATCTCACCATGGACTTGCTTGAGTAGTTCCCCATTCAGCTGCTCAACTTCTCTCTGAGGCATCATATTCACTGGTAAGAATTAAAAACAAAGTAAATTGTTAATGAGTGTGTATAAATGGGAAATTAAACAATGTTTGTTTGT